GACTGTGGTTGCCCCCTGATATCCGTTATCCTCTGTTGTCTTTAGTAATAGAACCCCCGAGTTTTAGCTGGCCAATGGACTACTCAAGGATAAAGACTTTTTTCAGCCACCTTTGTGACTAAATGGGGTCATGTGACTGAGTTCTGGCCAATGGGATGTAGGCAGAAGTGTTCTAGGCTACTTCCAGAAAATGACCTTAAAAAGGGTGTGCATTCTTTGTCCTAAACTCCACACTGCTAGCTGGAATGTGAGCATGGCTGGAGCAGCCATCTTGAACCATGAGAAGGAGTTCATGCAAAGCAGAATAACTGGACAAAGGAGCTTAGATTCCTGAGGACTTCATGTAGTAGAGTCCCCATACCTGCCCTGGACAACTTACCTCTGGACCAATAAGAGAGAAATAATCTACTTTATGTAAACCAGTGTTTTCTGTGACATTACTGTCATTTACAGACAAACATTATCCTAACCAACATGATTATCTTCTTTTACTTGCAGCTACAAGCATCCTAACCAAAAAACTAAGGGCTCCTTTATTGAGTTCACTTTAAGAAAAATTAATCCACAGAAAGTAAGAAGTGGATAAAAATTATACCATGAGTATTTGTCTTGATTACTAATTAAAAAATGAATGGACTCACCTAAGAAGTGAGGAATTGCAGCTCCCCATGTGGGAGTAGCAGGGGTGAGGAGAAGAGGAGGAGAGCGTTCAGTATAAATATGTAATGCTCAGATGTATAATGATCACGTTGTATTTTGACTAAAAAATGCCCTCAAGCTTCTCAAACTCCCAATGGAGTTAGCAGGACTTTTGAATTAGGAAAGCTACTGCAGATTGGGAATTTCTACATGGTGTGAGGTATGGGTCTTGTTTCGTTTTTTTGCAGATGGATATCCAGTTATGCCAGCACCATTTGTTAAAAGAGACTGTCTTCCCCATTTAACACATTTTGGGCCTTTGTCAAATATCAGGGGCTCATAGGTGGATGAATTTACATCTGGATTCTCAATTCTGTTTCATTGGTCTATGTATCTGTTGTTGTACCAGCACTAGGCTGTTTTAACTATTGTGGCAGTAGAATAGGTTCTAAGATCAGCTAGTGTGAGGCCTCCCACTTTGTTCTTCTTCAGTAATGCTTTACTTCTCCGGGGTCTCGGGAATTTCTAACGTCAATAATAATTTTGTACTAACTTCAGTCTTTGTGCATGGAAACCAAGATTTTAGAGATGAGGACTTCTTTTAGAACGCCTAATCTAATTTTCAAAGGCATAAAGGATTTTGTGAATTGAGAGTTTCTTAGACTCAGTAAAAAAGAAATAAAGACACTAGACTGAGACAGATGAACATTTCCTCCTGGACTTGTGGAAGAAATGATGACCTTCATTTCTGTGAGTCCTGATTCAGGGCTTGATGAGCCTCCTAGAGACAGATGTTGAATTAAGACCTGGTGTGGATGAAACACTTCTGTTTCTGTGGACATTGACTGTCAGAGGACCACACTAGCAAGGGTGCTTTAGTAACAAAAACTCCTGTGTTGTCATGTCAGTAGTGATGTTTATTCTTTTATTATTTTATTTTTGTTGCGGACTACTGAATTGATGATAGTTTTACTCTATTGTAAGTCTTGGGAAGGCCTGAGCTGGGTTCATAGGTAGAAAGTGCAGTAGCAGGAGCCCAACTTGTAACAGTAGTTTCTGATTTTTTTTCTTTGTGTGTGTGTGCCATATTTTATGAGTTTATTGTAGCTTTAAAAAATTTAGTAAGTAGTCCCCCTTATCCACAGAGGATCGTTCCAAGACACCCCCCCATGCATGCCTGAAAATGCAGATAGTTCCAAACCCTATGTATACTATGATTTGTCCTATACGTACATACCTATGAGAAAGTTTAATTTATAAATTAGGCATAGTAAGAGATTACCAATAATAGCTAATAATAAAATAGAACAATTATAACAATACGCTGTAATAAAAGTTTTGTGAATAATGGAGCAGAATGGCATAAGATTTCATCATGCTATGTACTCATTTAACATTTTCTTTTTTTTGAGAAGGGGATTGTTCCCTGTTTAATCTGCCAATTTGGCCATGCTTAAGGTTGAAGTCTACTGCCATATCAAGGGCATGAACACAACTAGTAGCTTCTTAAAGGCAGCCTACCTCTGGAGGAGTGGCATGTGGGAACACAGTGTCCAAAGCGTAAGCCCTAGAAGCTAGCAGTTTCTAATTTTAATTAAAATACATGTACTGTGAGTGTTTCACAAAATATACAGTGTGAATTATGACAGTGACTTTTAATCTCCTACACAGAAATTTTAATTTTTTTGTCGGTAAAGCTTTGTCAAGCCAAGAAACATGGCACATACAACAACTTGCATTGCGAAATGGGAAATAAAGTCAAAAGTGAAGAGAAAAGAATAATGGAAAGGACAAACAAACTAATAAAGGAGTATAGTACATCTGTTAGAGTCTGTTTAAAACGCTTCGGTAAAATGTAGGGTATGTAGGCTAAAATTCTAAGTTCCAAACTAAAAAGAACACACACAACTGAACAAATCCAAAATGTAATACAGATCTTCCCTTTGAAACTGGAAAATTCATTTTAAAAAGAGACTAACAAGTTGCTGCCAATGAGAAAATGCAAGCCAGCTTTTAAAAGTGCCCTTTTTTTGGTACACATGTTATTTTCTCACTTAGAAGAGAGAATAAAAGGTTTAGAAATATGAAAGCAATTAATACAGTTTTGCAAATTGCAAAGTATCAGACCCAAAGAAGTTTATATTTCTATGCTTGATGTTATTTGGAATGAATCTATAGGATTAGAATAAATTAATAGTTTTACTGGGAGCCCCGAAGGGATTAAGAAAAAAATTCATAGTCTGAAGAAATTTTGGAAGAAGAGTAAATGTCTCTATGCCAACCCATGCAGATTTTTTTAAATTTTTTTCTAAAAAACGTCTGTTTAAAAATAAAATAGGTTCAGAAAACCACACAAAATAAATGCACAGATTAGTGAATCATTATAAGGCAGATATCCTTGTAACCATCACCCAGGTCAACAAATAAAACTTCACCTGCTAGTCCAGAAGTTTCCATGTGTCCCATCCCAATCCTACACCCCTTTGTCTCTCCAAAAATAACCATTAAAGTGGTGGTTACTTGCCAGTTATCTATTGCTGCCTAACAAACTACTCCAAAAGATCCCATTGGCATATCAGCCCTATAGGACAGAGTAGAAGTGCCCCATAGGGTTTCCAAGGCTGTAATCTTTAAGTAAGCGGACTGCCACATCTTTCTCTCATAGAGCAGCTGGTGGGTTCGAACTACCGACCTTTCGGTTAGTGGCCAAGTGCTTAACCCCTGCACCACCAGGGCTCCCTTTCCAAGAGATAGTGGCTCTTAGAACAACTGTTTGCTCACAATTGTGCTATTTAAGCCAGGTTCAGCTGGGAAGTTCTACTTCTCATTTTTGCTGGTAGTCATTCCTGTGGCTGCATTCTTGTGGCCTGTTGGCTGGTGGCTGGACTCAGCTGGGAAGACTTTCTCCTGTCCAGGTGGTCTGTCCAGTAGGTTAGCTGGACTTCTTAGTATGGTTTTCAAAATTGCAAAAGCAGAACCTTCCAGGGCTTCTTATAGCTCGGGCCTGGAATGGCATAGCCTTACTCTACCACGTTCTATTGGCTAAAGCAAGTTCCAGGGCTAGCCCAGATTCAATGGAGGGACTACACAGAGGAGTGAATACCATAAAGTGTGGTTCATTGTGGGTCATCACTGCGATGGACTATCACACCACTAATCCCTGGATTAGTCTAAAATGTATACCTGATATAATTCCAGAAACTTCAGCCTTATAAAGGAAAATACGGAGAGGGACCAGCCTTTGGCAAAAGGAGATCTGAGAAGAAATAAAGCAGGTTAATAGGCTCCAGACAACTTATGGGGGTACAAAAGTATCTAACCATGGGCACTGGTGGAGCAGGTATAGGGAAAATGAGAAATCTTCAATACCCTGGATGCCGGAGAAGAAAGGGATAGGCAAGGAGAGTCCAAACAAAGCTCACCTGTCTCACTGATTTGAGGAGACAAAGATGGGAATTTGGGGAGGCCAAGGCACCTAGAATTTGCAGGCCAGATTAGTGGAGAGGAAGGGGCTGCCCAAAGAAATCTGGAGATCTGCAGAGCCATTGGCCCATTGCCGTCGAGTTGATTCCAACTCATGGTGACCACATGTGTGTCAGAGTAGAACGGTGCTCCATAGGGTTTTCAATGGCTGATTTTTCAGAAATAGATTGCTGGCCTTTCTTCTGAGGCGCCTCTGGGTGGACTCAAAGTGCTAACCTTTTGGTTAGCAGCCGAGCGTGTTAACCGTTTGCACCACCCAGGGACTCTGCAGATCAGTCCCCTTGAATGCTTAACTGCATACTGATCTGCATCTGCATGGGTGAAACTCTGTGAGACAGGGAAAGAACCACCTGAAAGGAGTAGACCAGACAGTTCCTGGAGCTCACACAGAGCTGGGAACAGTTTACATTCCCATCATCCAGAGTAGAGAGACCTTGTAATACACAGGACATTAACTGGGTAGAGTCCTCAGTAGTAGTGAGCAGAAATTAGCCCTAGTCTAAAGGCTGCTCTGGACCCACTCTAATAAATTTAAAAGCAAACCTCAAGAGGATCAAACTGATCCCAAGTAACTTAACTACGTACCAGAGCAAAGTCCAACATTCTTTACAGAAATACAACAGAATACACATTCAACAATATAAAATTCACAATATCTGACATCCAATCAAAAATTACCAGGCAAATGAAGAAGCAGGGAAATATGATCCATAACTAGGAGAAAAAAAAATCAATCAATAGAAACAGACCCAAGAATTACAGAGATGATGAAATCAGCAAACAAGGATGTTAAAACAGTTATTATAAATATGCTGTACATGGTAAAGTCTGTCAGTTTATTGTACTGTGGTGGCTTGCGTGTTGCTATGATGCTGGAAGCTATGCCACCAGTATTTCAAATACTAGTAGGGTCTCACGCATAGCGGACAGGTTTCAGGGGAACTTCGAGACTAAGGCAGACTAAGAAAGTTAAATGTCGATCAACTTCTGAAAGTTTGCCAATGAAAATCTTATGGATCACATCAGAATATTGTCCAGCAAGACTCAAACATGCCACAGATCGTGAAGATGGTGCAAGACTGGGCAGTGTTTTGTTCTGTTGTATATGGGGTCGCTATAGGATGGCAAATGACAACAACAACATATGCTAAAGTAGAGGAGAGAAATGGAAGATATAAAAAAGAATTCTAGTTTCCAGTCTTTAGGAAAGAGCAATATGACTGCTTTTGAAGCCTGTTGGATCATCTGGGGAGACTGTAGCTATACTGACTTACCAAAATTCTCAATAGATGTGGAAGAGGAACAGAGCTGCCTGCAGAGAGTTGTATATGCACGAGGAGCAGTTGAGATGGGGCTGGTCAGGGGCCAGGACAGGTGAGTAGGGTTAATTCAGAAATTAAGGGCAATGGTGGATGCTCTTTCAAAAGGACATCATTAGTAGTGGTCGTGTGCCTTTTACCTCTGGGGCTCACACAAAGCAAGTAGCAATTTCCATGATTAGCTCAAAAGAATTGAGAGTTTTCTCCAAATTTGAACTGAACGTGTTTATTTAAAAAATTATTTCCTATGTAAGTCATGCTGAATGAGTTTGATAGATATGCCTGAATAATTGCCTAAACCAAACACACAGGCTTAGAGTTAGAATAAAGATAAATTTTATTAACAACAATGGCAAACGTGTAATATCTGGAGTGTAAATATTTAAAACGGTTTGGCTAGATCAAAGTATTAAATGAGTAACATTAATTAAAATGTACTGTTTATACTTAAAGTAAGTAAGAATTTTAGAGTATGACTAAGACCTGTGCATATCAACTGAGATGTCAGCTCTTAATTAAAAGTGATAACTCTTGGTTTGATAAAAGATAATAATAATGACAACAGTAAAAGCTGACATTTATTGAAGGCCTACTATGTATTTGTCTATGTGCCTGAGACAAGTAAATGTCTCAGAGAAAAGATAACAGGATATCAAATATTCTTCCAGAAATTCCAAGTCTTGTCTACATAGCTTTTATTTTTTTTTTTTAACAGAAGGGTGTAGTATCAGCTTGATAGGATTCGAACAGTGACTGAAGAGAGGTATTCTAGCCACCTTAAATGAGCTGACCATGAGTTGGGATTTACTTCCTGGTATAAGTTGAAATTAAACCTTTGGTGTCATGTCTTAATTCTAAATAATTTGGCTATTTTTTTTTCTTTTTTTGTTAATTGTGGTAAAATATACAGGCATTATAAAACATTTGACAATTCAGCAATTTTTACATGTGCATGTTAATCATGTTGAGCAACCATCTTTAGTATCCTTTTTGATTTGGCTGTTTTTGAAGTGAAGGTTTTTAGTGAATGAGATGGTAGATTATAAATAACTAAAAATAGAAATTAAAATTCATCTGAATGTTAGCAAAAAATAATATGGAACTTAACAAATAAGGAAAGCAGGCATAGTAGGTCACTTTAAGTAAATTTTCAATAAAATGATATCTTTATTATAAAAGAAAATATTTCTATTTTGGAAACAAGGCATAAAAGGCTAATAAAAACAAAACAAACAAAAAAACAAAAACAAACCAAAGCCACTGCCATCGAGTTAATTCTGATTCATAGTGACCTTAAAGGACAGAGTAGAACTGCTCCATAGGGTTTCCAAGGCTGTAAATCTTTATGGAAGCAGACTGCCACATCTTTCCCCTGCTGAGCGGCTGATGTGTTTGAACTGCCAACCTTTCATTTAGCATCTGAACACTTTAACCAGTGCACCACCAGGGCTTCTCTTGGTGAATAAATAGAGCTCTTAAATTTGAAAAACAGGCATGATAGTCTGCTGAGTGCTTGCTGATTCTGAAGCTGGATTCTCTAGATTTTGGATCTGTCATCTGGCTGCCTTTGGTTTCTTATATGTAAAATGGGGACAGCAGTAATACCCAGTGAGGTAAAAGGAGTCAGAAATGAAGGTAATGTAATTCTCAGATTTACCAATCCTACCATTATGCTAATCAATTTGTTTTTACTGTCAGTAACTGCAGCAGGCCTTTCCAGAGTAAATAATTGGCTTTTACACACTGCCGAATAATACCTATCTCACACATTTGTTCTGTAGACTAATTAATGTTTCAGAGTGTTTAAACACAATGCCTCTACAGAAGCAATGATATTATAGTGTATTGGGACATTCTAGTAATTAGTACTAATTAGATTCTTTTCAACAGCTTGTTGAATTTACAAATTACTGCTTCTAAGGTATTCTGCTTTATTCATTATGAAAAAGTCAAACAATGGTTTAAACGAAGCCTTTAAATAATTATTCTGTAGATTCTACACATACCTTTCCTCTTAAACCAGGGAAGGGCAGTATCAAGACACCTTTCTAGGCACTGTCATGGTGGGGAGCTCATTCCCAGTGATGTGCCAAGAGCCAGCTCACGCTAAACAGAAAACCAAACCCGACCCTATAGGCCAGAGTAGAACTGCCCCATAGGGTTTCCAAGGAGCTGCTGGTGGATTTGAACTGCTGACCTTTTGGTTAGCAGGCAATCTCTTAACCACTTGCCACCTGGCTGGCAGAAAAGAGCTGATTTTGCACATCCCTTGCGAACTCAGAGTTCTGTGACATCATGTTTGTAGCTTGAACTCAGCTATGGTGGGAGCTTGGTTTTTTGTTGGTGTTGTTTTAGAGACCTAGTTTACCACCACACCAATGTCAGTGCACTTCTTTTCAGCATGTGGAGTCTGGCCACAGTGGTGATCAATTGGCAGTGGTTTGAAGCGAGGTTTCAGTTGTACATTAGAATGAAAAAAACACCACTCAAATCTCAGTGGCTTCATTTATATCTCACTCATTACACAATCCAATATGATTTGGTGGAGAATAGGGAAGGGTTGGTTGTTGTAGTTAGTTGCTGTCGAGTTGGCTCTGACTCATAGTGACCCCATGTACAACAGAATGAAATGTTGCCCAGTCCTGTACTATCTTCACGATTGTTGGTATGCTCAATTCCACTGTTGTGGCCACTGTGTATTTTGAGTGTCTTTCGATCTAGGGGGCTCATCTTCCAGCATTATATTGAGCAATCTGTTGTGATTCATAGGGTTTTCATTTGGAAGTAGATTACCAAGCCTTTCTTCCTAACCTGTTTTAGTCTGGAAGCTCCGCTGAATCCTGTCTGTCATGGGTGACCCTTGTGAGATTTGAATACCTGTGGCATAGCTTCTAGCATCATAGCAACATGAAAACCACCACAGTGTGACAAATTGACAGACAGGTGGTAGATAGGGAGGGGAGAGGTCATTTAGAAATCTAGGCTCATTCCTTCTAATGCATTGTACCGTGGACCCCGTTGGCAATCTGGTGAAATCTATGGACCCCTTCTCAGAATAACATTTTAAAATGAAAAAAAAAAGAAAAATACACAGGATCATAAAAGAAACCAATTTTACTGAAATTCAGTTATCAAAATATTTTTTAAAAAATCTGTGATATAATAATATATGTGCTTCTTTACTAATGCACTAAGTGACAAGGTCTAGTGATAGGTCTAATAGCTACTGTAATTTTGAAGAAGTGCAATTCTTAGATACTGCAGCAATGAAATGTGATATGAAAATATCTGTGATCTCCATTGATGACAAAGTTGCTGGTACTGCTAAATTCTACCGTAATTTGTTGCCTACATTCATGATTGAAGGAAATGCTGAATTTGAGTTGAAGTTAATAAAAGTAAAGATGTAATTTTCCTGCATTTAACTTTTGGAGCTCCTGAAAACTGTCCACTTTACTTTTATTAACCTCCAACTCAAATAACCCCTGATCTAGTGGCTCCATTATTCCTGGGGCCACAAGTTTTTAACTGGATACTCTGCATGTGTCTGCAGATAAGGGAAGAGGGAGAGTGGAGGTTTATGCGGGAATATTTTACGGACTAGGTCTGGAGGTGGCATACATCGTTTCTGTCCAACCTTCCCATTTATACATGACACAGCCTCCTTTTGTATCTTTCCATTTGGCAATTCCCATCAAAAGTCCTATCCCTTTCTTTGTTGATCACTCTTCTCTTATATCTCCTTCAACATGTTGAACCTAACATTTTAATGAACAGCTTTTCTACTTTAAGCGGATTCTCACTTCGAAGGAAGGTTATACGTTTATCTTCACATAAGAAAAGTTCAAGCCCTCTGTCTTAGTTATCTAGTGCTGCTATAACAGAAATACCACAAGTGGATGGCCTTAAAAAACAGAAATTTATTCTTTCACAGTCTAGGAGGCTAGAAGTCCAAATTCAGGGTGATAGCTCCAGGGGAAGGTTTTCTCTCTGTTGGCTCTGGAGGAAGGTCCTTGTCATCAGTCTTCCCTTGGCCTAGGAGCGTCTCAACGCAGAGACCCTGTATCCAAAGGATGTGCTCTGCTCCTGGCACTACTTTCTTGGTGGTGTGAGGTCCCTCTGTCTCTCTGCTCACTTCTCTCTTTTATATCTTAAAAGAGATTAACTCAAGATACAACCTGATTTTGTAGATTGAGTCCTGCCTCATTAACATAACTACCTTTAATCCTGCCTCATTATCATCATAGAGGTAGGATTTACAACACATAGGAAAATCACATCAGATGACAAAATGGTGGACAATCACACAATACTGGGAATCATGGCCTAGCCAAGTTGACACATATTTTGGAGGGACACATTCAATCCATAACACCCTCTAAACCTGTGCTGTCCAATATGGTAGTCATTAGACATGTATGACCATTGAGCATTCAAATGTGGCTAGTCCAAGTTAAGATATGATGTAAGTGTAAAATGTACATTGGATTTTGAAAACTTAGTACAAAGAAAAGAATGTAAGCTCCCTCATTAATAGTATTTGATAGTGATTATATGTTGAAGGGATGCTATTTTGGTCACATTGGGTTAAATAAAATACATTAAAATAAATTTAATCTCTTTAAAACATTTTTTAAATGAGGCTACTAGGAAATTTAAAATTACATTTGAGGCTCACATTTGTGGCCCACTTGATATTTCTTTTAGACTGCTGCTCTAGAAAAAGATTCACAGACGGATAGTGCTGCAAGGGACCTTAGAGATAAGCATAGAATCCAATCCTTTTATTGTAATCCGAGAGGCTGAGCGAGCTGCCCTTGACCACATAACTAGTAATGGCAGATATAGGATTGGAACTGAGGTCTCCACACTCCTAATACAGGTATCCTTTTTGTGTCTGTTGTATCTCAACCAAACCACACTTAAAATCTTTAAGTTTAAATTTCCAGTCCAAACCAGAATATATTCTGATTTGAAATTATACGTGAGAACTTTGAAAAATGACAAGTCCTTTTTAATCTGATGTATTATTCAACCTCAGGTTTAAAACTCACA